TCCTTATTGTCTTGGCTACGTTTATTGATCTGCACCGGCCTGTACACTCTACAAGAATAAGATGTTACCAGAGTCAAGGAAACTGAAGATTCTGGAGCAAAGAGTGAAGGTCTCTGAAGAAAGAGGCTTTGAAGGGATTCCGCAGAATGACAAATATCAATATGTCTTTCTTTTCCCTCTCTGCCTCCCTCCAACCATGTATCCACCCCCTGCTTATTCTCCTCTCCTTGACTGACTCCTGGTATGTGCCATGTCACGATATCATATAATCTTTCTAAAGAAAGATTAGGCCTTAGGTATTAGCTGAATGGAAACAGAAGTGAGGCCACAGAGGTGTATGGCCAGGAGGCTATGAAAGTGTAAGGGACTCATCTGTACATCTATGACATGATGTAGGCACCTAATAAACAAATGCCAAAACATCTGAAGCTCCAGGGGGAGATACCTGGATGAAGAAGGGAGGAGGAAGGCGCCTAAGTTCCTTGTGCCTTTTCAACATCTCAAAAGCCAGGCCTAGAATCCCAGTGCTAAAGAGGCTGAGAGAGGAATATAGTAGGGTTGAGGTCAGCTTGGGCTATATCTCCAAAGCCTACAGAGCAGTCTTTGAGGAGGGACAAAGGTGATGAGAGCCTTCAGAGGTTGTATCAGTTAGTTTCCATCAGCATAATGAAATGCCTGTGATAATCAATGTATAAAGAACAAAAGTTCACTTTGGCTCATGGTTTTGAAGGGTCCAGTTCATAATCAGATGGGACCATTGCTTTGTGACTCTGTTGGGCATAGCACCACCGGACATTGGCTGTTTACTGCCTGGGCAGAAAACGAGAGGAAGAAGCCAGTATCCAAAATCTCATTCAAGCTCACAGCCTCCCACCCCAAATAACCAAAGTACCGACTACTCCTAAAGGTCCCACACTTGCTAGTAATACTGTCACAGCCCAAGGGACCAAGATCATATGTAATAATAGGTGCTGCTGAACTCTACTGTTGTCATGGAGCAAGCAATAAAATCTCTCTGAGACTGGGAAGAATGGCAAGGCTTGAGCTTAGCAAGCCCATCCAAACAAAAGGAAGCGGTCACCGTTCATCACCCACTGACTCCAGTTCTCTTATTTTTCTCCAAAGGAACTTAGAAATTGGACTTTTTAGGCACAATCTTTCATTATTAAATATTGAACATGAATTTTAAGGTTTTTAAATCTCTTGCCAAACAAAGCAGAAGAAAGTAACCCTGCAGAGAAGTCCCCAGATGATGTCCTGAATTTTGAATCTTAATGCATAGTAAATATTCACTACCACTTAGATCCACAAAATCAAGTGTCTGTACTTTACTGCATCTGAGTATCAGGCATGTCTACAGCTGGAATAAAGCAGTGCCTGCTGGTATGGAGGGGCATAGACCATGAGCCTGGATTCCCTCAGGTCTTCTAACGAATACAAGGCCCATCTCATTCCAGAACCAAGGTGTGTGCAAGGGCTAGGCCTATGGCTGTAGACCAGATATGTGTCACCATGTTAAGGCACAGACCTCTGAAGTATGCTACACACCTGAAAATTTTTATTTTTTTTTTCAATTCATTGAAGCATGTGTCAGGGGAATTTCTATGGGAATGGATTTTAAAGGTATGGGATAATGGTAGAAGGAACATAAAACCAAATCACTCTAAGCTTGTTGATATGACCCATTGAGCAGAAATTCCAGGTTTGATATTGAAGCTTCTACAGTTAAAAATGGTGCCAAGCATTTGATTGGTGAATTTGTCCAAAGATGGCCTCCTGGAGATGCCTGATATCCCTTGGCTTAGTGTTGATGAAGGGATTTTAAGGCTCAGGAAAATCATAATGCTAGAGTGGATTCACTATGTAAAACCTAATTTTCCACAACGAGTGGACATGACCTTCACTAGTAAGACACAAAATGGTAGGAGGAGCGCCTGAACATTGAAGAGTTTTGTGGCTGCTCTCCTCATGTCAGATCTTAGGATGGGTGATACAGTTGCTTAATTAATTGGGCCCTAATTGGGAAAGGTGAGACTTTTTTGTTGTTGTTGTTTGTTTTTTCAAGACAAGGTTTCTGTGTAGCCTGGCTGTCCTGGAACTCACTCTGTAGACCAGGCTGGCTTCAAACTGAGAGATCCACCTGCCTCTGCCTCCCAAGTGCTGGGATTAAAGGCGTGTGCCACCACTACCTAGTGAGATGTTTTTGATTGAACGTGGAATCTAGTTTTAGGACTTGGCTAAGGCCTCAATCTAGTCTCTCCTCATTCTGATGCCCCTATTCCTTCCTGTTGCCATTATGCCTATCACTGGCAAGTGTGTCCTTACCACAAAGATAAATGTGTCTCTTGTTTCATGAGGGGGATGTTAGCGGAGCTGGAAAGCTAGCCGGATGCTAAAAGTAAAGCTAGGTATGAACATAATCCTACAAGAAAGGGTCTGAGCTTGGGATGGGCAGGGGAGGAACAGGCCAGCTCGCTGGCTCCTGACCTTACAGTTGAGGCCTTTGGCCTGAAACACATCTGAGTCCATGGCAAGCTTCTGAAGTCAGAGCCAGGTGACAGATAGGAAATCTTGTTCTCTCTTCAACTTCATTGCTCACACTTCTACCCAGACCCTTCCCACTCCAGAGGGAGCCAAGAAGCACCTTCTCCAGGCAGGTTCTTGTACATGAAGGGTCATCAGCAAGACCCTTCAGACCACCTTTTCCAGAGACCTACCTGCCACCTCTCTCTCCCGATTTGTTTCCTTGCCATCATGAACCCCCATCTAGTCTGTACAACACTTGGCACAATATAAAGTCACCTCATCCGTTTCTATGCTCATCTGCTTCTTTGTATCTTGTCCCTATAGGATGTGAGTCTGAAGTCATGGTCCCTCTGTTGGCCTTGTCACTACTGTGTCTCCACAGTCTCCAGTATGTCTGACACCTGTTAGTCCTCAGAAACAGTTGTTAGGAACAAGTGGAGAAAGGAGGGGACCTGAGTTCTGCTCTGAATGATGCCACTGCCTTGATCTCCATCTCTAGGGCTCACTCTTCCTTCCACACTGAGGGGTGGCACCAACTTAGGAAGTGCTGAGGTATGCCCCGGGGGAACCCTGGAGGGTGAAGGCAGCACAGTTCTGTGCTGGTGTTTGCACTGAAAACAAAAAGAAAACCACATAAAAGATGGGACTCTAAAGTCCAGGGAATGGTCAGGAGGTCTGACAGATGCACAAGCCAGAGAGAAATGAGTCATCCAGACTTATCTGAGCAGAGCAGATAGGCTTACACACTCTCAGAGACAGACAGCCACAGGCGTGGTGGTTGCAGCATCTTTCCCTCAGTCTGTCTGGCCTTGTCTCTCTCTGACACTGACCCCCTTCCACTCTGCTATCATCTGCAGTAAATTTTTAAAAAATTTAATGTTGTGGTCATTTACCCTTGTGATGTATAATTAGTTCATATCCATGTGTCACAATATTAGATGCAAAATTGCACTTTTTGAACCATAAAGTACTGCAGTAAGCTAGAGAATTGCAGAGGACAAAGTAGGATTAGGGAAAGAAAAGTTGAATATGCTGAGACTGGAGGGTAGATAGGACATTAACAAGCTATCTGGTGAAGCCAGCTCTTATCAAAACCATGCATGTGGTGCAACCAGAATGTGATAGTGTTTGAAATAGAGAAAGAATATGGTGCTGTAACATATACATACATATATAATTTATATATAGCACATAAACACATACTAATTTCTATGGGGAAATTGGAATGAAAGATGAAAAAAGTGGCCCACATATTTAACATGAAAAAATACTATTTTAAGGAAACAAATACACATGTACACACATTTCAAAGGATGGGAGAGGCTAAGGCAAGAGGACGATGAGAGTTCGAGGTCAGCCTGGGCTATACAATGAGACTCTGTTTTGAAAAAAATTAATGGAAATTTTTTTAGATCTTTGATCATAGTTCTCTATATGGCAAAATGGCAACATTTAGTGACTTGAGTTCCTAATATCTAAGGCCTCCAAGAATGTATAGATATAAAATTTATAATCAGAAAAATGATGATCAGAAAAATCCAATGAGTTGTTTTTCAAAATACTTTATTATAGTAAAATATTTATGTAAATATGATATAAATTATCATCTTTTAAAATGTAGGATGAAGGCCCAGTGCCAGGCACTGAGTGTACTGAAGTACAGAAATTATATTAAAGGGCTGTATGAATTTTGTCATCAAAGCAGAAAAAGCCAAGAACCTCATCATTAACCATTTAATACTGAAAAAAACAGGCAGGGAAGAAACAAGGCCTAGTGTTTCTGTTCAGTTCCTTGTGGGTCATAGCAGAAGACCAAATTTAAATGATCTAGTTTTAGCAGGTTCTTTCTATGTAGCTCCAGCTGGAATCCTCCTGCCTCAGCCTTCCATGTCCTGGGATGACAGGGGTAAGTCAGTATACCCACTTTTTCTTCTTTTGAAATAATAATATTTCTCAGTGTTTTAAACTGTGCATTTTTCTTAATTGTCAGGAGATTTTCTAGGATCCCTTATTATTATGCTGGCATGTAGACATTTTTCTACACTGTAGAGGTTTTTTTTTTTTTTTCATTTGCTGAAATCCAAATAGATTTAAGTAATTTGAAACTTAAAAGTCAGTATGTCCAATATATATTTCAAGTGACATTAATTGCATTCATAACATTGCTGAAACATCACCACCATCAATCTTCACCATTTCATGAAACACCCTGAAACTATATGTCCTGAAATGTAGCTCCCTCTCTGCCTCACCATAGCCTTCATGAAGCCACACTTATGCCTTCTATCTCTATGATTCTGATTACTTCTAAGTACCTTGTTGTGGGTTTTTCTGATGTCATATGAAATACCATGTGTATGTTCAAGTTTTTTGTTGTTGTTGTTGTTTGTTTCAAGACAGGGTTTCTCTATGTAGCCTTGGCTGTCCTGGACTTGCTTTGAGTATGTTCAAGTTTTTAAAGAAACCAGAATCAGTTGAGTGACAATCATTTTATTAGAATAAAACTGCTCTGTTGACAAAGGGGGTGTTTGGAGGAAGACAGGCAGTACTATGGATATATCAACACTGTGTGGTCCTATTTAGAAGGGTAAATTAATCCAATAGTCTTGAATGTTAACATCAACTCTTCTCAATAGGAAAAATGAGTGAAATGAGTTACAATTCACTGAGTGCACAACCTATAGACCTGAGACAGCCCCACAGACCTGAGACCTGGCATTATCTTTCCAGCAGGGAGGAGTGGGCAATCACTTCATGCCGGTCAGTCTCAGTAGTCACAACAAATTACTGCAACAAATTACAGTTTAACAAGAGAAAGGCTAAGACACTGATGTAATGAAAGTTTTGCAGGCACAAGGTTCATACTAGGACTCCTAGCCACAGATTGAACATCCATTTTTATACTTAGACTCAATAAAATAGAGACAGTAAGATACCAAAGTGAATGGTGTTAGTTATTGTTAACAGACCAAGTGGGAAACCCAGCCAAGCCTGTTCAGAACCTTCTGAGTCCCTCGTAGCATTCTTTTTCTCTGGTATAGGGCAGGACTTCTGGAATGAGGCTCTTGATTGGTTTGTTAGCCTGCTGTCACATAGAAAGGAAGTGGAACATCAGAATAATATTTTTAGACTTTCTGACAGACTTTGGGGGGAAGGGGTTTTGACCTTGTAGAAGAAGTTCCGGTTCATAAGGTTTCTATTAGGCCAGAATGAAGAGCTGAAGAGGAACAGAAGGCCAAGGAGCAGCTTGGCACTGAGGCTTCATTTGACGCATCATTTTCAGAGCCCAGCATTCCCAGAAGGGTGGATTTAGCCAGTTCTGTGCCCTGTAGAGATTGTGCACCTCTTACATTGACCCTTGTGACCGAGATCCCAGGGTACAACAGGTTCTCCCTTGATCAAGTCAGCCCCTTATATGTATGAGTAATGATGAGACCCTTCGTACTTCACCCTGAACCAAAAGGAATGAATCTCGAGGATTTCACACTATGATGAATGCAGCACACACAAAACAGCCATGTCAATTTCAGCTGGGAAAACTGATGTATAACATTGTAGTCATCCATAGAGAAGAGAGAGAGAAGGAGAGATAGGAAGAGGGACAAAGAGCATAGAGTACATGCATGTTGCCCTGGTGTTGCTGGGGAGGGCAGGTGAGGAGAACCCTGTTCCTCCCTCCCCTTGCCAAGTTCCAGACAGCTTTCCACCCTTCAGTTTCTTCCTTTTTCTGGTTGGCCTCTGTTGCACCATAATGCCAGCCTCACTGGAAGATATACAGTTAAACTGAAAATCTCCCTGAAGAAAACACCCACAGAATATTTTATGTCTATTCTCACACTTAAGTCTCAACTTGGAATCCTGGAGTCAGGTTTAGACAGTGACCTTATCAGGTTCCTTCGACAGGTTATTTAGCCCCTCTAGCAATAAGAGTGCTGACCCCACAAGGCCACTGGGAGAGTCAACTGAAATGCTGGATGTTACGTGTCTGGCACACAGTACGTGCTTAATAGATGGAGTTATAATTATCCTCTAGCTTAGCTTACAGCCCATCCCTGAACCAGTCACACTGGTCAGGTGATGTCACATTCTGGCCAGCCAGGCCTGGGTTACATTCTGAACTGACTGTAGGAGGGACTAGACATTGCAGAAAGGCCAGGGTGTGAATGGGGAAGGCAGAAATTCAGAGTCCATTGTAGGCATCCAAGCAGGAGATGATGATTGAAAAACGGCGATGATTGTGGTGTCAGGTTCGAGAATCCCCAATTGTGCTTCCAGTAAGCTGCAGGAAGTAGAAGGTTCTAAGCTGCTTCCCCCACCCCCGGCTCCTTCTCCATGGGATAAGGAAGGAAGCCCAAAGGTTGAACAGCACCTACCAGCTGCGCCCTTTCCTACACGGGGTCAGATCACCACACGTTGCCATGCATTTAGGACAGTGTGGCCCTACAGAGGGAGGACATACTGTTATTTGAGGTACAGGTTCAAGAGTCCCCTGCTGGGCATGCTTACCGCATGCCACAGACAGTCCTTAGGAACTGTCTTGCCAACCTCTGTACCCATCCTTGATTGCAAACAAGTACTTGGGTTTCAAAACAGGAAGTAACCCAACTGGGGTTGCTGTTCTTCCTGGTAGCCTCCTTTCCCTGGAGCTTGTCCTCCACACAAAGACACATCAATTGTTTTTCAAAGAGTAAAGAAGCTACTCTCAGAGCCCTGGGACAGGAAGCACTTTGGGCAGGGTTGAAGGCAGAGGACACAACTACAGCCTGCCACTTTTGCACAAGGCACACCAGACAAGAGGGGACAGGCATTGTGAATTGGCAGTGATGGCTCTGGAGTAAGAAACCTTGACAATTACTCCCAGTGATTTTGAGAAATGGTCATTTTGTTTCCCATTTGACATGATCTAAGCTACTACAAAAGGCTAACTTTCTTGGTCAGCCTCCTGGCTCACTCCTCCTTTGCAATATCCTGTGGCTCCAGCTGATTACCTTTCTCTCCACTGGGTTGGATGAACCAGTGGGAAAGCAATCTGAGACCACCAGCATCTAGTGGCAGGAGATAAGAATAGCCTTCTAACCATGTACACATAGTCACATCCACATGCACTTTGCATACTGTAGCTGGTAATGGAAATGTCAGGGCTTATCACTGTGAGCAGGCTGCCATTCATCACCCCGATTCCCCTCTTAAATTAGGACAGTCTAATTTCCTTGAAGTCAGAGGCACCTCTATCGCTTTCATCTTGCTCACCCAAAGCGTGGTAAGACATCACTATCTCACACATGGCAGGTGCTCTGGTAAGGTGCTTTAAATGGAAATGAGTTGGATTGTATGTTTTTATCTGTGCTTCGCAGTTCTTTGAAATGTAAAGGACAGCCTTGTCAGTGTAAGAGAGCTGCAAAGTGGAATGTTTTCTTGAAACCCCAAAGGTACAGAAACAGTAGTCTGAAAGAGTATAAGGCCATGGTATTCATGCTCATACATAAGATTTGTGACTGCTGTGCATTTGTGTGCGCGGACACACACACACATACACACACACCCCCCTCTGTTTCTCACTTTGACTTTGATGAGAGCCTAATCAATATCCAAAGGCCTCGCCAGCCTAAACTGAAGCTTCTCTTGCCAGAAAACCAAAGTTCCCATCCATTAATCATTGTCTAGTCCCCACCAGGCCAAAAATAGACTATGTGCCTGTAAAGATGTCTCAGGAAGCTGCCAGGGGCTTCCGGGAATGGCTAGTGTGCTCGGGAAAGACATAATTGTCATGAGATGGAGCAGAAGAGGCTTAGAAAATGGAAGGACACTGTTGATACCTTTATCTAAAACAGTATGATTTTGTGGGGGAGGGAAACCATAGAAGTCACAGTGAGGACAATGCCACTTCCCAGTTCACCCTGAGCTGGAATTCAAACAGTGGCTCCCTGTTTTTTTCTTCTCTGGGAGGCAGGATGTGATCGCAAGTGAAGCATGCTGACCAACCCAAAGTCACTGTTCTCAGTTTGCTGGCTGGTCAGGAATTCTCTGGAACCTCGCTTTTGTTTTGAGTTAGTCCTTTGAGAGCTTGGCACTAATCCTCCTGCAAGCATTCAAGCAGAGTGAACCAGAAAAATGTCAGGAAGGACACGGGGACATATAATAGAGTTTAATTAGTTTGGTGAGAGTGCCCCTCCCAACAGAAGTCAGGCTTTTGTTTTGTTTTGTTTTGTTTTTTCTTCTTGTTTTATGGTTGCTGTTTTCTCATGCTAACTGATCAAGACTTTGTGAGTTATTAAAGAGGGTACTTTCTAATCACCTCCCCTTGGGGGAAGCAGCCTTGCCAGGCCACAGAGGAAGACAGTGCAACCAGTCCTGATGAGACCTGATAGGCTAGGATCAGATGAAAAGGGAGGAGGTCCTCCCCTATCAGTGGGCTAGGGCAGGGGCAAAGAGGGAGAAGAGGGGGGTGGGACTGGGAAGAGACGAGGGAGGGGGCCACAGCCAGGATACAAATTGAATAAATTGTAATAAATGATAATAATAATTAAAAAAACTAAAAAGAAAGAGTAATCAGCCTGACAAAGGTGGGTGTATTTTCTTTGCTTTTGGAGGGCATTTGTTCACCTGCTTGTGCAATGACATATTAAAAGACCAAATCCTGAATGTCAGCACAAGGCTGAAGCTCCTATTAATAACAGTGGCTAGCTAGGAAATTCTTCTGCTGAGTTTAATCAGGAATTTTCCATAGTAACTCAGGCTGCCCACGGCTGCCCACGGATAGCCGGGCAGTAGAGCTTTTAATTCCATCACACACATTTTTGTGTTCAGCGTGGCATGAGGACACGTGAGTTGAGCTGTGCTCTCTATAAGTAGAAATTTAGTCATTCATCTTCCTTGGGACAATTCCTCAAAAGGACCAGAAGACATCCTCTTGCAAGGAATAGGGATGGTCATTTTCAACATATGGGTGTGTCATGTTGAATTCCAATCCCCAAGTCATCCTAGCATCCCTCTGGCTTGTGATACAACTCTTGTCAGGAAAAGGGGAGCAGTGGTGGCACCCACTGTTCCCATGTGGAACCCTGGCTGTGTCTGCACAGGGCATCCTCTTCCCTTAGAGAAGCTTCCATGTCTCTCTTATGACCCATGGAGGAAACCTGGATATTTTAATCTGATGTTCAAGCCTGTATACGCTCTTGAACCAAACCATTTCTGACCCCTCTTTCCTTGCTTTATCTCACTCCAGCTAGATCTCAGGCCACTCGCCCTCAGAGCGGCTTTTGGTGGCTTTCTTAACAAAAGGTTGTTTCTTTGTCTTAGAACCTTATTCTTTATGTCTACTGAACAAAAATTCTTTCCATCTTTTAGGGCAAAGCGAAAATGACATCTGCCATAGGGAGTCTCCCTTGAAGACTGTAAGAGGGACACTGAGGCCACCCCAGTAGAACTTTATATAGCTTCCTGGTTGAAGCATTTATAGTGTAGATGTGTCATTTACGACTGCTTTTTAAGACATTCCGGAGAAGATTGTGACTCCCTAGAGCTTTGCTTCTCCAACCAAGGTTTGCAAGATGAGCATCAGCTGGGAGTGAGAACACAGTCAACTCTCTGTGTTTTCAGCTTTGCTGACTAAACCAACTATATTGAAATTATTTAGAAAAAAATAATGTGTTCCTACTGAGCATGGGCAAACTTGGCATTTTGTCATTACTCACTAGACACTATGGTACAAAACCATTTGATGAAATTTTGTGCTGTCTAGGGTATTGTAGGTCATCTAGAGAAGATGAAGAGTGCGCAGAGGATGTGCATGGTATATCCACACCACACTGCTTCACAAGTACACTGGAGCATCTGCAGGTCTGGGGACCCATGGGTCTCCTGGAGCCAGTCCCCCTACGGTTACCACAGGTGACTTCATTAAGCATGCCTAACGCCAGCCTTTCCCCAAATCCACAGAATCAGGACCTGCACTCTGACCAGATCGCCAACTGAGCCCTTTCTCTGTGGCTTAAGTACCTTCCACCTGGGCCCAAACATCATGAAGACCATCTTCAGTTCTTCCACGCTACATGGCTGTTCAGCAAAGTTAGCCTGGGAAGCTCTTGATGTCACAAATGCCGGAGCCTGATCTGATCCAGCAGGGATAGGGTAGGCCCAAAGTATATGGATCTTCAAAGGAAGGGTGACTAAAATGCACAGCAGTGAAGGCGATTATTGGCCCAACTTGTTGGCCAGGGAATTCTTCCTTAGACTCTCCCAGGCTCGTCCAGACCTACTGCTGACCTGACCCTGGAAGGTCTGCTTCCATTGAGCTGCAATGGGGCTGAGAATCTGCATTCTGTCAAGCTTCCCTGTGATGCTTGTGCTGCGCTGGTAGGA